GGGGGGGTGCAGGGGGGAGTAGTTGCTCTCGTGGCCCTTATGAAAATGGAGGACCAATAAACATTTTATCCACCTCATTAACATGGTTCCTTTTATAATTAGTTTATCGTCAATAGCGCTAATTTCCTCATTTATGGCATTGATTGTTTTAAAATCTTAGAAAAAATAGATGCATTTTGAAACTTAGGTAGTGAAATTTTCTAAATCGGTTACCCCTAAACAAAATCCTTCAATTGTTCACTGTTAAATTTGTCTCATTTTTAATTAGCTTTTCATTAATGTAGTTGTTAGATCTGCTTGATATTAGGCTGTTTAATTCTTTAGACGTAGACACATGCTTGGAATGCAAATATCAGTCTTGTTATCGATTTTTGCAGGTGGATGCAGTTCTACGTCAAATAGCGTTGTTTGAAAATGTCCTTCTAGGAGACTATCTTGTGTGGAAGAAGTGGAAAGACAAAGAGTCAAGTTTAAAATTGCCGGAACTAACTTTCCCTGATTTTATTTTAGAGCCTTCAATATTGATGCAACAATTTAGGGAATCCGTGCAGATTGAATAGCATGTAGAGTTGGGGCTAGAAGAGGAACTAGATCTCCACTGATCAAAGGTATTTTTATTTTATTTTATTATGGCTATGTGCATGCCTTATTCTATTTAGAACATCCATTATTTGCGCCTGAAGGGAGAAAGGAAATAGTATTATTACCAACACTGTGATGTGGTGAAGACTTTTCAAGAAGTATGCGTTTAAGAGGTTTTGACATCAATCTTTCTGGATCTGCTTGGACCAAAATATAATATTTATTCTTATTGTTATTGCTTCTGGTTATGGGCTTAGCTTAATATGAGTGTGTCCTGAGTGAGGGATTTATGGAGTTGGGCACTGGATTACTGCATATATCTTTCAATGAAACGCCCTATACCTCACCTGATAAGTGCAAAGACAATTTGCAAATCTATGGAAAGCGTAAAATTAGAATAATGATAATTACACTACTCCTTCCAACACTACTTCCACACTGTAAGCGAGAAGTGTGGGCTCCCTTGATAAATCACATATTTTCAAAATAGTTAAAAGAGAATTGGAACCCACAAATTTCTCTCGTATATTGTAGTAGTGTAGCAGTAGTAGTGTAAATATCCCTATTCTAAGGGGTGTTTGGTTCACCAAATTTATAGAAATTTTTATCGAAACCGTCTTACAATGACATTTTTGTAATTAAATGGTGTCTATAGGTTTCCTAAAACTCATTTGGGTTTACAAAATAATTAAAGAGATAGATTTCTATAAAGTAAAGAAAAGGGGTATATTTAGTAGAAACCCACTTCCTCTGGAAAAGGAGTGACAATCTGACAAAACCCACTTTATCCCATTAAAATGTTACCCTTTTCTCTACTTGGTGGACACCTTTTCCTCTTTTCTTCTTTCTCAAGTGAAACAAACAAAAAAAAGGGGAGAAACCTTTTCTTATTTTTGGGCTTCCTTATTTTGTGCTTTTGAACCAAACTAGGAAAAGTACTCAAGATAGAAACCCCTAATTTTTGACACAACCGAAATAAATTTCATAAAAATTTGTAGAAACACTTGGAAACTATTTTTTGTCCACTTCTCCTGTTCCTTTTTTTAAATGATATTCGAACCATACATGCCCTAAAACTAAGAGAAATAGGATGGCATGGCTAGGCTTTAATGGTGTAAACTAGCTAGGCTTTAATGGTGTAAACTACCAGTAACTTTTTATAACTGGAAGAAAACATGGAAAAACATGGAAAAACAGGAATTTTTTTTAAAAAAATTGTAAACAAGTTTACTCTTAATAGGTGATGTTTTTCTTGACAATTACCATAGTCTATTTATTTACGTGCAACAATAACAGCCATACTGAAGCATCTACAAGCTTATATTTATGTATATGTTAGATATCTCACCATTATAATTTATAAGGCCCTAGGAGATAATTTTAGTGATCAAAGATAACAAAGAACATTTTAAGATTCAATACTCTGTCCTTCAGCTTGATTTGCAATTTCTACAAGAACCGAAGAAAGAGAAGCTTAAAGTATGATTGTGAAGAGGCATATTAGAGGTTTCGAGCTAGTTTTAAATTTAGTTTGATACAAGTTTGTTAATTTATCCATGCTTTATTTCATGTTGGTAAAAATTTTCAGCTCAAGTAATACTAGTGTTTGATAAAGTGAAGTTTAATATGGGGAACTTTTATTGAGAATTCTGCTGATGCAACTAAATTGATACAATATTTCTTCTCTCTCACACACACACATATTGATCATCATGATATTACTTGGTTATATCTAGCTGGTTTTTTCCTTTTTGCAAAAGATTTATCAGTTTTTTGCGTGCCACCCTGCAGGCATGAGTTGTCACATGTTCTTAGGGTAGCCAATATGTTGGATTGTATGTCGATGTATAGCTAACATAAAGCTAAGTGGCTCACTGAGATTGATTCTTAAGCAGCCACTTACTGACATTTCCGCTAAAGTGTGATTAGTGTCCACCAAAATAATTTTTATCAGACAACTTAGATTAAATAAGGATGCTGGACGTGATTACTACAAAAATACATTAAAGCTTATTTCAGCCACGTAAGAATCTACAATAAGCAAAAAGCATGACATTTAAGGCTTAACTTCAAATTAGGATAGTTTTAGTTTTCTTTCCAACTGAGTTTATTATTATATAACTATATATTGAGGATATGTATAATATTTTGGGTTAGATTTTATTTACCTCATGTCTTCTTGAGACATCTGCTTTGCTTGTTCTCCACAGAAGCATGGAGATGAAAAAAGGGGGTAATTTCTTGTTGCCAATGACTATAATCAGTAATTTGATTTGATTGGATATTAACACCATTCTTTATCCATGTGCCCATGAATCTCCTTTAGCTCCATTGCAAATGGACTTTAATTTGGACTGGCTGAAGTTGTCTACGAACTAAAAGAAAGGTTCATAGATGAACTTTAAAATGACTAAGAGAAAGATGTAAAGGTGAACATGTGTTACATTTTTTTGTAAAGGGGGGTTGGGGGGTGCAGGGGGGGTAGTTGCTCTCGTGGCCCTTATAAAAATGGAGGACCAATAGACATTTTATCCACCTCATTAACATGGTTCCTTTTATAATTAGTTTATCGTCAATAGCGCTAATTTCCTCATTTATGGCATTGATTGTTATAAAATCTTAGAAAAAATAGATGCATTTTGAAACTTAGGTAGTGAAATTTTCTAAATCGGTTACCCCTAAACAAAATCCTTCAATTGTTCACTGTTAAATTTGTCTCATTTTTAATTAGCTTTTCATTGTAGTTGTTAGATCTGCTTGATATTAGGCTGTTTAATTCTTTAGACGTAGACACATGCTTGGAATGCAAATATCAGTCCTGTTATCGATTTTTGCAGGTGGATGCAGTTCTACGTCAAATAGCGTTGTTCGAAAATGTCCTTCTAGGAGACTATCTTGTGTGGAAGAAGTGGAAAGACAAAGAGTCAAGTTTAAAATTGCCGGAACTAACTTTCCCTGATTTTATTTTAGAGCCTTCAATATTGATGCAACAATTTAGGGAATCCGTGCAGATTGAATAGCATGTAGAGTTGGGGCTAGAAGAGGAACTAGATCTCCACTGATCAAAGGTATTTTTATTTTATTTTATTATGGCTATGTGCATGCCTTATTCTATTTAGAACATCCATTATTTGCGCCTGAAGGGAGAAAGGAAATAGTATTATTACCAACACTGTGATGTGGTGAAGACTTTTCAAGAAGTATGCGTTTAAGAGGTTTTGACATCAATCTTTCTGGATCTGCTTGGACCAAAATATAATATTTATTCTTATTGTTATTGCTTCTGGTTATGGGCTTAGCTTAATATGAGTGTGTCCTGAGTGAGGGATTTATGGAGTTGGGCACTGGATTACTGCATATATCTTTCAATGAAACGCCCTATACCTCACCTGATAAGTGCAAAGACAATTTGCAAATCTATGGAAAGCGTAAAATTAGAATAATGATAATTACACTACTCCTTCCAACACTACTTCCACACTGTAAGCGAGAAGTGTGGGCTCCCTTGATAAATCATATATTTTCAAAATAGTTAAAAGAGAATTGGACCCACAATTTTCTCTCGTATATAAAAGAGAATTGGAACCCACAAATTTCTCTCGTATATTGTAGTAGTGTAGCAGTAGTAGTGTAAATATCCCTATTCTAAGGGGTGTTTGGTTCACCAAATTTATAGAAATTTTTATCGAAACCGTCTTACAATGACATTTTTGTAATTAAATGGTGTCTATAGGTTTCCTAAAACTCATTTGGGTTTACAAAATAATTAAAGAGATAGATTTCTATAAAGTAAAGAAAAGGGGTATATTTAGTAGAAACCCACTTCCTCTGGAAAAGGAGTGACAATCTGACAAAACCCACTTTATCCCATTAAAATGTTACCCTTTTCTCTACTTGGTGGACACCTTTTCCTCTTTTCTTCTTTCTCAAGTGAAACAAACAAAAAAAAGGGGAGAAACCTTTTCTTATTTTTGGGCTTCCTTATTTTGTGCTTTTGAACCAAACTAGGAAAAGTACTCAAGATAGAAACCCCTAATTTTTGACACAACCGAAATAAATTTCATAAAAATTTGTAGAAACACTTGGAAACTATTTTTTGTCCACTTCTCCTGTTCCTTTTTTTAAATGATATTCAAACCATACATGCCCTAAAACTAAGAGAAATAGGATGGCATGGCTAGGCTTTAATGGTGTAAACTAGCTAGGCTTTAATGGTGTAAACTACCAGTAACTTTTTATAACTGGAAGAAAACATGGAAAAACATGGAAAAACAGGAATTTTTTTTAAAAAAATTGTAAACAAGTTTACTCTTAATAGGTGATGTTTTTCTTGACAATTACCATAGTCTATTTATTTACGTGCAACAATAACAGCCATACTGAAGCATCTACAAGCTTATATTTATGTATATGTTAGATATCTCACCATTATAATTTATAAGGCCCTAGGAGATAATTTTAGTGATCAAAGATAACAAAGAACATTTTAAGATTCAATACTCTGTCCTTCAGCTTGATTTGCAATTTCTACAAGAACCGAAGAAAGAGAAGCTTAAAGTATGATTGTGAAGAGGCATATTAGAGGTTTCGAGCTAGTTTTAAATTTAGTTTGATACAAGTTTGTTAATTTATCCATGCTTTATTTCATGTTGGTAAAAATTTTCAGCTCAAGTAATACTAGTGTTTGATAAAGTGAAGTTTAATATGGGGAACTTTTATTGAGAATTCTGCTGATGCAACTAAATTGATACAATATTTCTTCTCTCTCACACACACACATATTGATCATCATGATATTACTTGGTTATATCTAGCTGGTTTTTTCCTTTTTGCAAAAGATTTATCAGTTTTTTGCGTGCCACCCTGCAGGCATGAGTTGTCACATGTTCGTAGGGAAGCCAATATGTTGGATTGTATGTCGATGTATAGCTAACATAAAGCTAAGTGGCTCACTGAGATTGATTCTTAAGCAGCCACTTACTGACATTTCCGCTAAAGTGTGATTAGTGTTCACCAAAATAATTTTTATCAGACAACTTAGATTAAATAAGGATGCTGGACGTGATTACTACAAAAATACATTAAAGCTTATTTCAGCCACGTAAGAATCTACAATAAGCAA